ATACAATGCTGATGAAGGGAAAACTTACCTTGGATAAGGTTAGAAATAACCCAAAGAAGCAAAGGGATCCGAAATATTAGCTCTGACATGCCAGAGTGAGAAACTACCAAAACCAAAATGGCCACCAGCACATATGTGGGGGGCGGGGACCACGCACGTCACAGAAAAAAGGCGTGGAAAAACTGAGAATTAGGCTGTGAAATACTGGCGGCAGTATGGCTCTCACGGAGCAGTTTGAAGCCATGGCTTAGATCGCGGTTGGCTTATTTAGGTGTGGAACATGGGAATGGTCTGAAGGTCTGAGGATTGAGACCAAAAGGTCAGCCCTGAGGGATAAGAAAAATAAAGAAACCTGATCTAGAGGATAGTGGCAATAAAATATATTTAGAAATAATAAATATAGGGTGGGATGAACTGAAAATGAACACATATATACATAAAGGCCAGTATAATCAGAACTGACTCACCTGAAGGCAAGCAGCGAAGAAAGAGGCAGTGGGAGGAGTCTCACAGCCACATATTACTGTCTGATTGCAGGGATGGATCTACAATGAGGCAAACAAGGCATTTGCCTTGGGCAGCAATTTCCAGGGGGCGGCAAATAACGCCGCCCCCAAACGCCCAGGCAAATACCTTGTTTGCCTCGTTTTATGGGAGCCCAAGAGCTAGCCACCTTTGGGCTCCCCCAGGGCAGAATGGCAGTGGTTATCTGGGCGGGCGGCAAGGGAGCACTTTCCCCTAAGCTCTCTGCTCAGCTCCCTCGAGCGACCCGCAATAATGCCGGGAGCCGGAATATGACGTCATATTCTGGCTCCTGGCCTCTGCAGAGCGTTTAGGGAGCTGAGCAGAGAGCTCAGTGGAAAGTGCTCCCTCGCTGCCCGTCTGCCTGCACGTACAGCCACCTCCCTGCCCAGCAGCCCCACAGGACCCCAGGTGAGAAATCCAGCCAGCTATCCCAAAAGTAGGGAGGCTGGGTGGATTTAAATGTAAAAAAAAATAATAAAAATAATTGTGAGTGTGGGGAAATGTGTGTGACAGTGAATGTAAGTGAGTGTGTGTCAGTGAATGTGTGTGTGTTTCAGTTAACGTGTGTGTCAGTGAATTTGAGTGTGTGTGTCTGTCAGTCAGTACGTGCGTCAGTTAGTGTGTGCGTCTGTTAGTGAGAGTGTGCATCTGTCAGTGAGTGTGTGTCCGAGTAAGTGTATGTCTGTCTATCAGTGTGTCAAATCAGTGAGTGTGTGTCATTGTTTGTCAGTGTATATGAGAGTGTGTGTCTGTCAATGAGTGAGCGTCTGTCAGTCAAAGTGCGGCCTTGACAGGAAGGGGTGGGGAAAATGTAAATTGGGGGGGGGGGGCGGCTGAGCACCGTCCTGCCTAGGGGCAGCACAAAACCTAAATACATCACTGTCTGATTGGTTGATTTTGTTCAAATTGTTTAACTATTTCTTTGCAGCTGGGAGGATTCAGTAATGTAGCCCCATGTAGCCAAAGCGCAGCTAAGCGAAAAAAGGCCTTGACAGGGGTTAGGAGGCGGGCATAGGAGGAGGGAAGGAAGTATGGAGTTATGGGTAAGTAGGCTTGGCTATTTAAATAGGCAGCCATTTTAAAGCCTTCACTTTTAATTACTACCTTGCTGAGTTTGTGTGCACTCCTGTGTCCACAGATTTGGTTTGGTGGGGTCTTTGTTTTTCTCTCCTTCTGCAGGGTCGAAGGATAACATGGAGGAGCTGTTGGAGCGGATCCGGTTGGCGGCTCAAGGACGTGGCGTGGACTGGCTGCGGGCGCAACTTGGACCGGCCCTGGCGGGTGCTGCAGATCATGAGGGCGGCGGAGGTCGGCCTGTGCGGGCTCGGAGGCCGCCGAGACGGCTGAGCCCAGGCGCGGAGTCCGGTGGAGACGGTTCCAGCGGCCGGGCGGCGGCGGGACCAGGCCGAAAAGGACCCGGTAGCCGCATGGTTGAGGCTCCGCCTCCCGGCGCGTTACCGGGACGTCGGAGAAGCGGTAGCCGGCGGGAGGCTACCCGGGAGTCGGACGGTGCGGCTCCCAGTGCGGGGAGGGCTGCGCCTGGAGCGGGGGCCGCGGAAGACATCGGGCGGCCCCCTGGAACCGGAGAGGACGCGGGATTGCAGCCCGGGAGGGCGTCTCCTACACCCATGGCGGGGACTGGCGGGGCTGGTGCGGGAGGAGCTCGCGGACCGCCCCTGGAACAGGCAAGTGCAGGGGGTTCCGGCCGGGACCCCCTTGGCGCGAATCAGCGCAGGAGGACTGGGCACAGGGTTCAGAGACCTGGGGGGGACATGGAGAGGGGTCAGGTTCCGTCTAGAGCGGGGGCAGAGAGGCCTAGGGGGGAGGGTGCGCAGGGTAGTTCCAGGGTAGTGAGCATGGAGCGAGGGCCTGTTACCGGGAGGGTGGAAGGGCCAGGGGGTAGGCAGGGGGAGGTCGAGGTGCGCAGGGCGTTCAGGACAGGTTAGGGGTTCGGGGTCTGGGGACGGTCTAGAGGTACCGAGGGGAGGGGGTTCTTCTAGCCGGGGTGCCCGCCGGGGTGGGGGGTGGGGATTTCCCTGCGCTGGTGAGCGGCTAGGTGGGCGTAGTTCTGGGGGGGGTTCAGGTTTGGGGTCTGGTGATAGCAGCCCGTCACCGGTTAGGGCCCGGGGGTTCGGGGGGGTTAAGGGAAGGGCTCGGCGTGTTAGGTCCTCTTCTAGTAGCTCAGGGGGGGAGAGGGTCATGGCCCCCAGGCTGGTTACACGGGGGCGGGCCTCTGGTAGGAACGGGAGGAGTCGTAGTCCCAGAGGCAGGGCCGATCGGGCCTTGGGTGGGCGAAAAGGAGTGGTTGCGCGGGAGGCTCTGGTGTCCAGCGGGCGCTCTCAAGGTCGGGACGGGGGGGCTGCTCATGACCAGTATGCTCTGCCCAGGACTTCTTCTCCTCGTTACAGATCTCGGAGCCGCTCCGCATCTGATGTGGCCGGGCACCGGGTTGGCTCCCCGGTTGGAGGATCGTTAACGGATGTCGCTCATCCTGGTCAGGGGACAGTACACAACGCAGCCCCAGGAGCTTCGGGGTCGAGGGGCTTGGCCGGTGAGTCCTCTGCTTCTCTGCACTCCAGTGCATTGGTTCATACACTTCAAGCACTTCTCCACTCACTGGGAGCGGGGGGTGCCACAAAGGGCGGTGTGGGTCAGGTTTGGGCTCAGGGGGCCGGGGTGGCGGGCCCGAGCGAGGTTCCCTCCGCGGAACAGAGTTCGGGTGGGGACACTGCAGTGACGGTTACTGGGGCGGAGGCGACGAGCGAGCGGGCTGAGTTGACGGGGGGGGTGGTTCCTGATGCGGCCAGGCAACACGCATATGTGTCGTTTGCGGGTCCGCTGGGGGTCCACCTCAAACAGGAGGTGAAGGAAAAAATCTGGAAGGGTGACTTCTGCGAGATCTTTTCTCTTCTCCCTTTGGAGGATTTTATTGATCTCAAAGAGGACGATAAAAAAGATGAGAAGAAGGAGGAGGAAGAGAAGAAGAAGCGGTATCGTAAGATTCCCAAGTCTTTCGGTAACTGGCTGAGGGCCTTTTGCGTGTTGGCCAGTGTTCTGGGCGAGAAATCGCCGGGCCTGTGCTCCTCCCTGTTTTGTTATTTGGATGGCATTTGGGAGGCGTATCGCACCTATGGAGGACTGGCATGGTGGCGGTATGACGAGCAATTCCGGCAGCGTTTGGCGGCTAATCCGGGTATGCGGTGGGATCAAATGGACCTGCCTCTCAGGATGAAGCTGATGATGGCGCAAAAAGCTCAGCCATTTCAGCCCACGGCCGGCGCAAAGGGGCAGTCCGCCTCGTCGGCCGCCATGCAAAAGGGCTTCTGCTGGCTCTTTAACGAGGGCCAGTGCAAATGGGGAAACGCCTGTCGCTTTAAGCACGAGTGTTCGGGCTGCGGAGGCGCGCATGGGCTCAACCAGTGCTTCAAAAAAGGGAAGTCAGGGCACACCGGGGTCCCTACCTCGGCTGGGGGGGGAGGGGGAGTTTCGCTTGCCCCGGGGCCTAACCCCGGTGAGGCTAGACGCGATGGAGCCGTGGCTAAGCCGCTACGGTAATAAGGCAGATGCCGTGGCGCTCCGGGCGGGGTTTGGTCAGGGGTTCTTTATCCCTTTCCGGAACCGGGGGGGGACTGGGGTTCGGCGCAACCTTAAATCGGTGGCTGAGTTCCCGGGTGTGGTGCGGGAAAAACTGGGCAAGGAAGTCAAATTGGGGAGGATGGCAGGACCGTTCCCGGCTCCTCCATTGGAGGGTCTGCGGGTTTCCCCACTCGGGGTGGTTCCCAAGAAGGAACCGGGCAAATTCAGGCTCATTCACCACCTCTCCTACCCGGAAGGAGAGTCGGTGAATGATGATATTGACAAGGACTTGTGCTCGGTCTCATACGCATCATTCGACAGGGCGGTCGAGCTGGTAAGGAGGGCCGGGCGCGGGGCACTGTTGGCTAAGGTGGATATTGAAGCAGCGTTTCGGCTGCTTCCGGTCCACCCAGCGTGTCATCACTTGCTGGGGTGTTTCTTCGACGGGGAGTACTTTGTGGATTTGTGCCTTCCAATGGGTTGTGCTATCTCCTGCGCCTACTTTGAGAAGTTTAGTACATTTCTTGAATGGGTGGTCAAGGTTGAGGCGGGGAGTGGGGCTGTGGTACACTATCTGGACGATTTTCTCTGCGTGGGACCGGCGGGCTCCCCCGCCTGCCTACACTTGCTGAGAACGGTCGAGTGGGTGGCTGGCCATTTCGGGGTCCCGTTGGCGGCGGACAAGACAGAAGGGCCGGCTCCGTGCCTTAGTTTTCTGGGGCTGGAGATAGATACGTTGCAAGGGGAGTGTCGGCTGCCGTTGGAGAAGTTGCGGCGGCTGAGGGAGGAGGTGACAACGGCGGCTCAAGCCCGTAAGGTTACATTGCGGCAGCTGCAGTCGTTGATCGGATGCTGAATTTTGCATGCCGGGTGATCCCAATGGGTAGGGTGTTCAGCCGGAGCCTGTCGGCAGCGACGGCGGGGGTGCGATCCCCGCGTCACTTCATTCGGGTGTCGTCGGCCATGAGGGCCGACTTGGCCGTATGGGAGACCTTTTTGCGGGAGTTCAATGGGACGGTGATTTTTAGACAGGAGGGCGTGTCGGCTGCGGAACTGGAGCTGTTCACTGACGCGTCTGGTAGCGTGGGCTTCGGGGCTTATTTTGGGGGACTTTGGTGTGCGGAGCGATGGCCGGGGGAGTGGCGACTGAGCCCCCTCATGCGGAACTTGGCTTTCTTGGAGCTGTTCCCGCTGGTCGTTGCGTTGGCCCTGTGGGGGGATAGGCTGCGGGACCAGAAGGTGGTCTTTTTCTCGGACAATATGGCCGTGGTGCACGCTGTGAATAACCAATCAGCGGCATCGAAACCCGGGGTTAGATTGCTACGTCATTTTGTTCTGTTGTGCATGTCGCTAAATGTTGTTTTTCGTGCACGCCATGTGCCTGGGTTCCTGAATGATGTAGCTGACGCCCTGTCTCGTTTTCAGTGGTCACGATTCCGGACGGTGGCGCCGGAAGCCCAAGAAGTGGGGCAGGCTTGCCCAGATGAGATTTGGCGGCTCGGGGCGACCTGCTTGGGGGACTGGTGAAAGCGTCGCTGGCGCCGGCCACATGGGCCGCTTACAGTAAGGTCTGGGACTCCTGGGAAGGTCATGGGAAGGGTTGGACCGCCTGCCGGCGGGGGAATCGCTCAAGGATGCGTTCCTCTGGTACACCTGTCAATTTCTGGCGAAAGGGGTATCCCCGGCGGTGGTTGACAGGTCCATGGCGGCGATGGCTTTCTGGTTCAAGCTACATGGGGAAGAGGACCTTACTAAGGCCTTTGTCATAAGGCAGGCACTGAAGGGGTACCGGCGGGGCCGCAGGCGGCCTGACACTCGGCGCCCAGTATCGGTGCGAGTGTTGAGTGACCTGGTCGGTTTATTGCCTACTATATGTTTCGACAGGTTCGAAGCATCGTTGTTTCAGGCGGCGTTTCTGTTGGCCTTCTTTGGAGCCTTTCGGGTAGGGGAGTTGGTCAGTGCCACGAGGACTGCGGCAGGGGGGGTACAGGTGTCGGGGGTCCGAGTGCTGGAAGGGAAGGTGGTTGTACACCTGGCAAAATCCAAGACGGACATGTTAGGCAAGGGCCGAGATGTGACGCTGCGGGCCCTGCCGGGCTCCGCTTTGTGCCCAGTGGCTGCGGTGGCGGGGTACATGGCACGGAGGCCGGGGGTTGGAGGATCGCTGCTGGTACACGCGGACGGGTCTTCCCTCTCCCGGTTCCAGTTC